ATGTCGTAGCAACGAAATTAGTGTCATTTACGGGAATCTATTGTTATCAGTCGTAACGGATAGTGCAAATACGCGTAACTAGCATTGGACTAATAGTTTCCGTTTCGGCAATTTAGTGACCAAATCAAATCCGCATAAATATCGTAGCAACGAAATTAGTGTCATTTACGGGAATCTATGGTTATCAGTCGTTAGGGATAGTACAAATACGCGTAACTAGCATTGGATTATGAGTTTCAGTTTCGGTAATTTAGTGACCAAATCAAATCTGCGTAAATATCGTAGCAACGAAATTAGTGTCATTTCCGGGAATCTATTGTTACCAGTCGTTAGGATAGTGCAAATACGCGTAACTAGCATTGGATTATGAGTTTCAGTTTCGGTAATTTAGTGACCAAATCAAATCCGCGTAAATGTCGTAGCAACGAAATTAGTGTCATTTACGGGAATCTATTGTTATGAGTCGTTAGGGATAGTGCAAATACGCGTAACTAGCATTGGATTATGAATTTCCGTTTCGGTAATTTACGGGAATCTATTGTTATCAGTCCGTAGACATCGTGAATTAATGTTTAATGTGCAAAAATGAAAGTAGTAGCCATTGAAATACCTAAATAATAACGTTAACTCCCTTTCCTGTATTATCCACTCTATACGTACTTGATATTTAAGTAAATATACCCCGCTTAATACTATATCTTGTAATGAGATTAAGAGAAATACTTATTTCAAAGTAATTATTAAAATGGTTAATCAAAACCTTGAAAGTGAATCGATTACATAAATGTCGGATATCCTCGCGACGCCGCGCAACGTTAAAACAAATACTTGTAAAACGCTTGTACCTAATTATAGTTGTACTAAGTACGCATTTCGCCAAGGGAGTCACCACACCTATCAACACGGATTCGCATTAAGTCGGTCAGAAAAATCATATCATATCAATCATATAAACGAATTAATTGGCTATGGATTGTTGACACTCTCGTTTTAGATTCCACGCAATCCCGAACAGTCAGTCCCCAGTACTAATGTTTCCTCAAAGTAGTCAAACACTAATGTGTAATGAATTGTGATGGTGGCACTTCACATGGCTATTTGTATTCACCAAATTGAGTATTTGTTGCACTTGGAAAATTATTTGACGTATAGATAAACATACAGACTAGCGTTAAAATAACAAATAGGGTTAATATAACGTATATCTAACGTATACGCGGATAAGTGACAACTGGCCAAATATCCGTTACAAATATAAAAAGATAGAGCACAAAATTCTCTTTTAAAACAGTTACAAATTAGTTAACGTGTGCAACTTATCCGAACTTACCCTAAAGATGCATAACTGAAATATCATTAAACAATTTCAATATTTTAAAACTGGATTATGGTTTTTTAGGACACCTCAAAAAAATATTTTGTCACTTACCCGCGTTTTAGTTAGTGGATTGCAGATATGACCATAGGGTGGACGGTTATTTGCCTATATGGCTCCTTTGACATGCGTCGAAATAACCGACCAACGCGCGATATCACGGTGTTTGCTATATTTGTCGCATAGGCAAACACGGCAAATACCTTGTCAGACATGCTATCTACACATGGTGATTGTTTGCCAAATATGCAAATACGCAAATACAAATAGCCACGTGAAGTGTCACCACACCGTAGTGTTACGGTTTACTTGCTTATTTGCCTATTTGACTCCTTTGATGTGCGTCGCGAAAACGACTAGCGCGCGGTAACGTGTATTTAGTGTTTGCACTATTTCTTTTCCCTAGCTCATAACCGCAAAATGTGTGAATTTATGTGGTCTGTGGTGTGGGCCTATTATAGCACCCGTATACATAAATACAACATAAAATAGAACCAAGTATTATGTAAATTAGCGAAGTACAAATGAAACTATTTGCAAATTTTCAATAATTAACAATCAATTAAATCTACTAGATTAACCTGCGACATGGCATACGAGGACTCTCGGAATCGCGGGAGACTTGTACGGCGTGTGCAGGCACCATGATATTGGAGATGGCTGCGCTATCGCGGCTTACCGGCAACCACATCTACGAACAATATGCTCATAAAGCCATGGACAGGCTCTGGAAAATTCGGCATAGGTATGAATACTTTATTAACTCCAGGGCTAGTGTTTGAAGTAGCTAGGTAAACATACCACCTGGTCTACGATACTGAGGAGTTGAAGACGTACACTCTCCAAATGGACTTTACGTGTAGACACCGTTTTTGGGCGTACTGTATATCCTTTTGCTAAAGAAAGGCACCAACAAATTGCAATATAATATGCATTGTTATTTATATTCAGGCTGCAAGTATAGCAGTATCTGTACTTTCCAGAACCTCAGACCTGATGGGCACGGTTATAAACATCCATTCTGGCGACTGGGTTCGCAAAGACTCGGGTGTGGGTGCGGGCATCGATTCGTACTACGAATATTGTCTCAAGGCATATATCCTACTCGGTGACGAGAAATACTTGGCCAGGTTCAATAGACACTACAACGCCGTCATGAAGTACATCAACAGGGGACCCATCATGTTGGCCGTCCACATGCACAGGTGAGTATAAAAATGTTAAGTCAATTTGAGTGTAGTAAATCATCTCAATCAGTAACCGGCTCCTCGAGCGTCATGTCTAGTATATTTGCGTTTTTGTCCATTACCTGTATTACCTGTCTTTAGATTCTTTTTTTGTACCTATTACTAAAAAGCAGGCTGAAGAATAAATTTATTATTAATATTGAGGTCAATAAACACTTGAACGTATGCCGACAACGCAAGAAGCTATTCGAAATTATTTTTGTACATAATGTTTCTTTCCCCTCACATTTGAAGTGGCACGTTAGAGTTAATATAACAAAAACTAATTTTAGTTATTATTCATTTTTTTGTATTTACAAAAAAGAAACGCGATTGCCACGACGTAGTCACTGGTCGGACACAAATCCAATGCGTACCTTTTCCATACTAAAAAACCAATGAATAAGTTTTGAGAATGATTAACTTTTGAGGCTAATAATTTCAATTTGCTCCTTTCCTATACGACACTACAACAATTCGTTTGTTTGGTTCAGACCACACCTTCAGTCTCGCAATTTTATGGACGCGTTGCTGGCGTTCTGGCCGGGGCTGCAGGTGTTACTGGGCGATGTTCGCCCCGCTGTCGAGACACACGAGATGCTCTACCAGGTTATGCAGCGTCATACTTTCATTCCAGAAGCATTTACCTCCGATTTTCAGGTATGTTTTCCCATGGGTCACAATCAATAAATATATAGGTATATTTATTAAAGTTTACAATAAGTAGACATAAGGGCGCGTGTACACGCTAAGAAATTCGACGTGTCTGCTGCAGAAAAGATGAGAATGGTCTTCTACACGACAAGAACTTTGTCGTCGGATGTAGCCACGAAAACATGTCGTGTCTGTTGCAGACGAGATAAAAATGAGTACGTACATGGTACGAATGCTTTCGGAAGGACGTGTGTAGGGTAAAATGTGTTAGTGCAGTACGAGTCTTCCAGATAGCTGTCGTTTTGTGACGGTGTGACCTCCTTACACCGTCATCCCACCTTTTTGTATCGCCTCTCTCCATTCGTAACGTATCGCTTTTTCTTCCTCTACTCATATTTAAATTTAAATTTTTGAATTGTTCCATTTTACTTCGCATTCTGATTTTGTTTCTTTCCATCGTCATTCTCTGCGCGATCGCGGTAGCTAAAAGATCTGCTTTCTTATTTTTAAACCGTTTACCACTTACTTAAATCTCTTGTACACCGTTTACATTTTAAGATAATTAATATTGTTGTATTGAATAAATTCCTATAAACCGTACTTTCGTCTTTGAACTGCTAAAACTTGCTAAGTAAGACGTATAGAGGCTGCGGGTGCTGCGGAGGCTATTACTACCCTTGGACCAAGCTATATTACTGCTATCCAGTCTATTTTACAGTCTACAGAACGTCACCAGCACCAGCAGCGCTATTACAGTTTTACTACCGACTGTGGGAAGAAATGTGTTGTTGCATATGTTGACTACTAAGCAACACCCGACCACGCGCATAAACGTTCGTTTCAGTAAACGCTATAACAGTACAATAGCGGCAGAGCGCGTCGTGTCGGGGATAGACAAAATCTTTTTCTAGTCCGGCGACGAGGCAGTGTACACAGTCGTGTGTAGAAACGACACGAATTATTGCATAGACGCGGCAACTTATTTCTTAGCGTGGACACGCGCCCTAAGAATTACCATTTTCATTTTGAGTGTTTATCTAATATTTTCTTCGAAACGTAGGTACGTAATTTATTTCGTTTTTTATCAGGTCCACTGGGGACAACACCCGTTGAGACCGGAATTCTTGGAATCCACCTATTTTCTGCATCGTGCAACGGGAGACGACCACTATCTGGACGTGGGAAAGACAGTTCTGAAAGCCCTCCAGCAATACACTAGAGTACCTTGCGGGTACGCGGCTGTCAATGATGTGAGGACTCGTATTCACGAAGACAGGATGGACTCATTTGTACTAGCGGAAACTTTCAAATACCTTTTTATGCTGTTTGGTGAGGACAAAGATTTGCCATTGAAACTGGAGGATTATGTACTGACCACAGAGGCCCACTTCCTTCCTCTATCATTGGCTACGACCGGCAAAAACGCTTCATATTTGACGTTCAACTTTGACGACGAAGAGGACGACAAGTACAGGAAGTAAGTTGTTTTCTATTTTGTTTTCTATTCATTAATTTACTTAGGTCGATTAAATTAGCTTCAGAAATAACGATTAAGGAATGGAGTAATTTTCGTAGCAATGGAGCTCCTTGTTGTTGTTGTAAAGAGTTCGTTCAGGGTAGTACTGTCACCTTACATATTTCTGCTGCCAAGCATGGTGATGTCAAGCAGTAATGTCAGCATTACTGTGTTCCGTTTTTGAAGGGTGAGGGTGCTGGTGAAATTACAGGCACATGGGACTTGTCAACTTATGTCCCAGGGTGACGGGCGCAGTGGCAGAGCCCCTCAGATCTTTGCGATTTAAATCTCTGAGTGGCACTGCAACTGTTATGGACAGGCGTGTTGCTTACTATCAGGCGCACGGGTTGTCTGTCCCGTCACTTGATATTATAAAAAAAAAGAAAGTAGTATGTGTACAGGTTGCAAATGGCATGCAAAATGAGTTAATTTTTCAATTGTTGGAGAACGTGTCCGAACATGGCGTCAATGGTGGCGGAGAAAGTGCGTCAACCGATGCGGCAACTGCTGGGCTCGACGGCTGCGCGGCCGCCGGCACGGCTGCGCCCGCTCAACGACCCTCGACAGATCCACGCACTCTCCGATATGGGCATCTCCGTGCTCACACTGCCTGACGGTCGTGTGCAACTTCTCTACACTACGACTACGGTAAGCGATGAAGTTCTCAGGGTTCATTTTCAGCACGCTTCAATACTGCACCCCTACTAATAATGATTTTTTTTTTCTCATGCTTTTGGGAATTATATTTATTATACAGGGTATAAAAACTGATGATATCTTATTTTAACTACTTACGCTTTTATACATATAGTACACGTAAAAATATTTTTTTATTTATAAAAGGTAAAACAAGTGGGTTTTGAGACGAAACTAGTACTGTTATTAAACCAGGAAAATTACAAAGAGCCTATTTTCACAATAATCGCCTGGTTTATTTTACGACTGTATTGGATGTGTTAACACAGGATAATATAATAGATTGTTATATGTAGTGTCTATGTTAGGCTATCGTAAATCATAATCGAATTAAATTCCCCGTAGTTCAACTCTATGCAACATCTAGGCTGTTTATCAAGATTGTGAAAAACACCGATGTGATAATCAGTGAGATACTTAGTGCCTAATTGTCAACTATTATTTGATGTATGTTTGGTGTAAAGCTTTTTAAATTATTTTATTCAAATTAATTGCTTACTTCGTCCAATTGTTGCTTATGCCAAATTTTAGTCACTTAGGGTCGTATTCCAGAACTCTACTCAATGCTCAAGTCAGGATTTGAACAGACTTGAGTATGATTTCTAGTGCTTTGAATCATACTCAAGTTCTGACTTGAGCACTGAGTAGAATTCTAGAATACGACTCTCAGTGCCACAACAAAAATCTAAATTAAAATAACTGTAGAAGTTGTTTTAATTTTGATTTTTGTTTTGTTCGTAACATGTAACATATATATTATTATTTGAATAATTGTGGTCTTTATATTATGACAGGCCATGACAGAATAACAGCGAGAGCTATGTTAGCAGCATAGTTCGCAGAGGCCGAGTCATGGACCCTTATTGACATGCTTTTATTTTTTCTTTGTTTTGTTTGAAATTTATGCATGTTAATTAAAGCCTATTTTACTTTTTATTTTTTTATTTATTACAAATTTAAAATTAAATTGAACTATTATAACTATTTTCAGTAGATTTATTCTTGTTCTCGTTTGACATTCCGTCCGAAACAATTACTGTGAAATAAGTAATACTCGACGAAATCAAAACACAATGTCACATAAGAAGCTTCATTCGCATCATGCGTCTTTTAATTTGGACGAGTGTCACTTATTTCACAGTAATTTTTTTCAGACTGATGTCGGACGGAAAACGTGATTAGATCTCCAGAGTAGGGTGATTTACATTAATATAGATTCAACAAGATTAATATACGCGAATATTTACATTTACAGAGTGTAGCAATTGCGACAACCTAAGAACTCGAATCTGATTATGATGATACAATAATAATAATAATTGTACAACGAGTGCATAAAACACGTCATTTTACCCGACACGAGTATACGTAAGTCGAGCGTAAAATGAGTTTTATGAACGAGTTATGCACTCTGCTTTTCACTTCGATAGCGAGGAAATTAAACAGCAATATTACTATAAACGATAACACAACTATTGCCAAGAAAAAATAAGAACTTTCCGCCAATGTACTACTTTTTTTTTCTACACGTGACTCAGGTCAGATTACATAATGCTCAGTTATATTTTACAAGCTTTTCTTTTTTATGCATTTTTATTTCTTATAACTTATTAGAATTACTATTGTCTACTTTTTTAACTTTGTAATATACTTTGTAACACGGATTAAAAAAACAAAAGTAAAACTTTATTTTATAAAGTTCTAGTGTGCGTGGCTGTTGGTGCAGGCGTCATTGCCTCGGTCTTAAACGACGATTTCATACACCCAGCATAAATACGAACTTTAAGAGCATGAGAAGTGAAAATGAATTTTTCTTTGTGTTCGATCTTTACATTAACAATTATAACAAACTAATGGAGTAACTTCACAAAAATTTTATGAATATCCTGGTAGTAAATCAATAAGTCGATACTGATAGAATTTTCACAAAAAGGCTTAGGTACTTTTATTTACAAATGAAAATAAAAGCATTTAATGGTCGTGAAATATTTGTCTCATAAACTAGCTTTCGAATGATTGTCACCGGTCATGCCTATGTTTGGTCACGGAGAAAGCCAATGTACTAAATACAACTAAATATCTACCAAATAATAATTTTTTTTTCCCTTGCTTGTGTATAAAGAATTGTTAATTTGCATTTCAGGCAAAATCTGCGAAGGATGCAGCAGAAGGTCTAACATTCATGCGCGAAATGTCAAAGTGGAACTCTCTTAATGACGTGGATAATGGCGTAATACCCGTTGGGGTAATGCTGAAAGGCAACATCTTCTCCGCGGGCCCTGCCCATTTCGGAAAGGAGCTCAGCGGCTCAGAGCGACACATCGGCACAATACGCTTTGTAGAGCCAACTGACGCCTGCACTTCTATCCAAAACCAATTCGATGTTGCTGCAAGGTTTGCTGTAGCCGTACGAGGTCAATGCACTTTTGCACAAAAAGTTCGTAACATGCAAACTGCTGGCGCCAGGGTGGCCATCATCATCGACAATGTTCCAGAGTCGTCAGCCGAAAACACGGCCATATTTGCTATGTCAGGTGACGGAAAAGATGATATTGTGATTCCAGCTGTGTTTTTGTTTTCCCAAGAGGGTCAGTTCTTAAGAGATAGTGTGAAAGAGGATCCTGATGTAGGAGTTATCGTTGGCGAACTGAAATCTATTAAAAAAGATTATGGACATACTTGCGAAGATGAAACTTGTGATGGTTTCGAAGGTGCCCTTGAGCCGACTATTCAGAACAAAGATTCTTTTGATCACCTTAAGAAAGTGCTTAGCCAACTCGTGGCACAGTTCGAGCTATCGCTCTCCACTGAGGAATCACTTCAGCAGAAAAGCGATTGTAAAGAGGAGATAATCGACGGCGACGTGCATATTATCGATGACAAGTTTACCAATGAGCCTGACCGCAGAAGTATTTGTAAAAAACCAAGGCCACCAGTAGGTCCCAAACCATTTGGACCCGATATCGTAAGCGAATTTAGGCCATTAGACGCTTACAAAAATGCAATGGAATCGTTTTATTCAACAAAAGACATGGAGTACACAGAATCAACAGAGGCCGTGAAATCTTTAGGTGGTATAAAATCGGCAGATTTCGCAGATACTTCCAATAATATTAACGTAAAACAAGCAGATACCAAGGTGTCATCTACGCATGATGAAACCAAATCAACGGAGTCAGATAAAAAACCAGATAAGGCCTGACAAAATGAGACCTTTTTTTGTTACAAAAGGACATACTGTACACAGGTAGATGTAGAAGAGACTAAAAGTGATAAACATGTGTAAATCTTGTACATAATGTAAAGTGTTAGGTAAGAAGAAGAATTTTTGTGCCTTTTTGATATCTGCAACTGGTTTTTAATTTAGCTCAACCTTATTTTAAATGTATATAACATATTGTATTTTTTCCGCAACATGCAACAAAACGTTTGATAATATTATATTCAATTTTTTTATTGCCTTTGGTTATGAATTAAATTAATTTAAGAACATCTTTGCTTATTCTTTAATGTATAAGTATTTCTTTTACAGTAATACAATTCAATAGATAAAATCAAATTAATACAAATCGTAATAGTATTGTTTGCATTTATTTGTTGGCGTTCATGCTGGGCTGGATAAGAAACCTTTTTGTTGGAGGCACTGCCCTTACATATAGGAAGGTTTCAGAGCAGATTTGAGTCGCCTAGGTGAAGTAGGGCTGTAGTCGGGGGCGGGTACGGCTGGTGACCACTCTTTGCGCCACTGGGGCTCTTCCCGGCGCCACTGAGGCTCCACGACGGGCGATGTTGGTGGTTTCACTGGAATCGGTCTCTTAGGCTCTTCTAGATACGAGAAGGGACGGGAACCGGATGCACCAGGCGTGTGCCACGACTCGGAGCGTTCGAAAGAACGGTTACTGAAAAACAAACAATCTTTGTATACTTGCTGACTTTTACATTTAACATATGCTCGTATATACGTTCAAACTAAGGTGCACTTTTGATTAAAATTAAAAACAGAAAAATTAACGTCAAGTTCAATTGATTTTTTATAACATTTTTGGATACTCTGATCGCTCCGATCATTTTGATGCTAAGTTAGCGGTAAATAGATTTGGGTTAGCTCTAAGCGTAAAAACAACATCATTGAATAATAATTTAGATGTCTTTGGATTGCTATGTTAGGTCTAAGTTTGTAGTTCCGAATATTTCGTATTATGTATAAGTCATTACCTGTAGTCTGACATAGGAGGCTCCCGACGATTAACTGGAGTCCTCGAGCGTAAGTCATCGTCACTTACATATGACGGGTTCACTTCAGGGCTAAAATGAGTTTTACAAATTATATTCCATGAAATATATTCATTGTGAAAGAGTCGGTTTATGATTGAGTTACTGATTTCGAACCGTACAGGTGTATCTTGGAATGGACGTACATATTATAATAGTTATTCCAAGGAAAGGCTTTGCTATGTAATCTACAAAGATCATGGCCCACCACAGTATAAAAACCATACCCAGGGCGTACAGAAATGACATTTGGCTAGATTTATAGAAAAATATGTGTACTTTGCTTTGGGTACTGGGAATTATGGGATAAAAAATGAATTTTTATATATAAAATGTATGTTAAGTAAAATATTTGTATTTATTGTTGACCACCCACAGAACGATTTCGGTTTTATTCCTACTACCACTGACCGCGCAGGGTTCGTGCACAACTGTAACGATCTTTATTTTCACAGAAAGTCTGACTGTAACCTAATAAGGGTTTTCACACAATTAAAAGCATGTTAAATATCACATCTTTATTGCCCCGTTACATGTTAAACTCGTACAACTTCTGGATTTTTTTACATAAAGTAAAAAGTGGTTTATAAGTGCATAATTTAGAACTAATATGGTTTTTGTACGTAAACTTCCATTAACTGGGTAAGTTTATGGACCATGATCTTTCTAAATGAGATTTGTATTGTCCGGAACGTCGAATTTTAGCGTACTTTTCACTATAATTGTCATTTTTATTTTAGACGAATCTTTACATATACTTTTGGATCAGTGTAACGAGTATCTATAGTATAGTGAGACAAATATGGTAATTCCATACAAATATAGCAGTGCGGCTTCTGTTTGTGTACGTCCGCTGCGCGCGGTGTACGGACGCACAAATTCGCATAATAATGAAAGGCGTGATAGCCCAACGAGCGCATCGCGAGATTATGCGAATGTGTGAGTCCGTACACGGCGCGCGACAGGCGCGCACACTTACACAGCACGCAGCTACGTTTGCACGGAGTTACCATCCTCGTCTTATTATACTATCGTGTATCTAAATATAATTACTTTATTACTACTTATACATCTACTAATACATAAATATTATCTGTCTGTTTGGTAAAAAGTGGATTGTACGATCGTGACATTTTGAGCGCTTGCATATCAAACGATTCCGAGATATAAAAGGTGTATATAAGAATTGTTATTTATCGTTCAATATAAAATAATAAAATTATTATCACCGATTTTACCACGTCGTGAGCCAACTTATTTAGTAATATAATATATATGTGCTTTCCAATCCAAACACGACGAATGAATATGCGAGCAATGTCTTGTACAAGGTGTAATGATAATTTAAGAAACTGCTTTAGTGATAAATGTTGATTTCTACCATTGGTGTATTTATTTTAAATTATTACAGAAGAACACCAATGGCTTCTATACGTGCCTCTCAGAACACTAGAAAAGCCACTTGTAGGTAGCCTGTAACTTAGTATAAGTGTATACCCGTTAAATGATTGAATGTAATAGCATTATTTATTCCTTGAATGTATTTAAGATATACTCCATATACATTAATCTATATAATCTGTATGTGCTTGTTTATGACATGAAATACACATATGCATATGTGTTTTGATATTTTTATTAACCATATGTGTACAGAGTGCTAGGTAGTTCACTGATTAACTTTGCGAAACTAAAGTTTGAAAAATAAAATATTTTCTTTACAAAATTGCTTCATTGACGGTTAGTTTTGAATAAAAAAATGTACAGATAACTACAGTAACCACATTTTGAATTTCAACTTCCTATTCTTTCTCCAAAAAACCCTGCCTAACACACTGTTTGTATCCTAGTAGAGTTACGTTTACGATGAAATCAGTATATCACGTCTCACGCCAAATAATGTCTAAGTAGTGTCCTTGTTCTCGAATACATTTACTTTTGTCGCCGATTTTTAAACAAAACTGTGTCTGCTGGTATAAAATGTAGCGCATCTTTCGAACTAGGTTGTCTATGATGTTCATTAAAAATCTAATGTTTTTATTGTATACATACCCTCGTGAAGAATTTAAATACATGCTGCCATTTTGTACTTGCCAGGGGTCGTTTCCGTTTCGTCTTTTTTGGCTGCAATAATATATATATTTATATACATAAAATTAATTAATAATTCATGTGTACATTTCTATCGTTGTCAACATAAATACCTAGTAGAATAATGATTATCCTGTATACTTACTCATAAGCGTTCAATGCGCCAACACTGTGGATGGAATGCTGTAAAACAATTTGAAATAAAAGTTACAATACGACTGATTATTTAACGACTCGTTTACTTAATTCTTATATATTAATAGTAAAGGCTGACAAATATACTCTAGGCTCAATTTATATTGCCGCGGAACGGGAACGAAATTGCGGAGAATGCGCCCGATTTCTGTGGAATTTAAAGGCATTTAAAGAAATGTAATATTAACTTCTTTTTAATATTAAGTTCAATTCTTTATCATTGTGCCTACTTCTTAGAGCTGTGACACACGGTTACTTTTAGCAGATATGCAAACGCAATGCAGTCGCTAATCGGCTACCTTTACAGACACGCGCGACTTTAAGGAGCGACGCAATCACGCGTTTATATCGATGCAGTCGCGCGTTTTGCATCGCATCGATGTCGCGTGTTCGTATTGATGCAACAGCCTATAAATCGCGAGTCTAGCTATGCAATCGTGCGTTTCACAAACGCGCATTTGCATCGCTGCTAAAAGTCACCGTGTGTAACCACTCTTAGTGAAAGAAACTTTCATAGATTTCTCACAGGTGGCGCCACGGCAAAAAGTTCTAATCCAGCCGTATCGACGGATTTTTGCTTACGATTCGATCTTTATATTATAGATTAAAATAGTTTCCATTTACAATTTGACCCTTTGACCGCTGTAGACGCTTTTAAGTGTTTTACATTAACTTGGCTGACATGCCAATGACGCCAAAGCGTTAACAAAATCCTTCAATTTTCAATTGAAATTAATAAATAAATATTAACATATTCCTTGTGTTATTTGTATATATATTCTAGTTCATTATGGATAAAAACCTGCATTTTATTTTCAGTTACGTCTTTCTTGACTTAGGAGAATTGAATTAATATAAGGTGGAAATTCACATCACTATATAGGCTTGGCGTCAATGGAACGAAACTAGTTTTTGTCAGTGGCCAAAAGGTTAAGTGCCTAATATTACCTACCTTGTCATCCTTTACATTATCGCGTTTATTTTGTTGTAATACCCACCTCATTTGTTTGCAAATGTTTCTGGAAATTAGCCGCGTACACAACGAGTAAAATCAGTAGCGCGATGTTGATAACAGGCACAAGAAACGCCTTTAAAGTTAGTGCCATGAGCAAGAAAGCACCCAAACGACCCAAAACCGGTACGACGATTCTGAGGTCACCCGGGGGAAGACTTTCCTATACAAAAAAAAAAAAACAAATAAATAGTCACAGCTACGAATCCCACCCGAGCACAACTTATATTAAAACGATAAACAATAAGGTTTTATCGTGGTAGGTGCATTTAATGAAATTCATCACCAAAAATATTACTTAAATATGTAACTAGAGCTTGCATTATGTCTCTAATATCTTTTAATTTAATTTTGAGTTTTACTACTTGCGTAAAGAAGTGAAACAATATCTGAACATACATACATACTTACTCATGCATATTTTGAAGATTAAAGTCGCTTTTACACGAACTTGTTTGTTCGGAATTAGGTAATCTAACCGGCATTGAACTCCAAATTTCATAAAATTATGAAATGCCACTTTAAAGCAAACGAATAATTAGTGTTCTGCACGTACAATACTTCAGGGAAGAAAGGGCATAAAAACCAAACTATGTACAAAGTTTACGACACGACACGTTTACGGTCATGTTTTTGAAGTAAGTATAATTAACTTTTGAGTAGACACGTCAATAACCCATTTCTGTAAGTCCTTTCTTCCCCGAAGTATCGTAGGTATTTTATGTGTTAATCCAAAGAATGATAGTTTCGTGATAGTAGGTACTTCATTGTGAAGATAATTAGGTATACAATCAAAACTTTTGTAACGTTTAGGTACGATTTCTTATTAATTTTTTTTATTAAACATACGACATTTAATGAAAATTTATTATACAAAACATACTTCAAGGACATTATTAATTTTAGAAATCAAATGTGGTTTAAAGTAGTGTAAAGTCCAAAGCTTGTTGGTTATGGTTTCATATGAAAGTATACTCGTGTAAAAGGAAGGAGAATTCAAATAATTGTCAAGGTGAAACGTCCGATATTCGAGAGTATCTGGCTGATTGGAAGTCAGAATTAGAACGGCAACTGTAGGGACTGATGGGGGATTTTTTTTTAAGTTGGTTCACGTTAGCGGTTTTTTTCTAGTTTTTTGCGCGTAATCTTCAGGTAGTGTTAGAATAATAACATCGAGTGTTATAGTTTCAAATGTAAGAAATATTATACCGTAAGCACACTGAATGTACTCTTGTGTATCTCAAATTTCGATATTTTGAAAAAATGTGCCTTGAAAGTCTACCTCGTAAAATTATAGCATATCTATATAATGTTTCCGATTTTAGGTGACAATTTTGCTGAGATTAGCCCCCTTTACACAGTCGCTCGTGTATCAATTGCGCGTGATCAGGAGCGTACAACATTACCAGTTTCATAGTTTTTAAACTAACGTTCTTTTGCGCTCGATGGCTGGTATTCGTTATTGTTACAACGGGAAGAGCATCCCTGTAAAGGCTAATATAATAATAATAATAATAACGCACACACTCAACATAGCCCCACACTAGGGAAACCCTGTGTTGCGGATACCATGGACACACACAGACAACCACAAATTACACCCAAACTCACGAGAGCAATAAATATAGGCCATATAAATATTCCCGGCCCGGGAATCTAACCTGGGACCTCTGCGTGGCTGTCCAATAGTAATCGTACGGCTACGTAAGCACTTTAGTTTAATGATAACTCTATAAGAGGCAGGACCGATTCTGCTTCCTTTTTTAAGCACAGCCGATACAATCGCATGAGAACAGGAGACACTGACTGTATTTACATCTAGGTTCCGCAGAGTTCTAAGCGCTGTATTGCCGTACGTTAGCTAGCGCCTTAGTGCAGACAGCCTGAGGTAAAGTAGGTGGAAGGTTCCCCGTGGCGAGCAGAGAGGAGAATACGGTTACAGCTTTTACCAAACATTGGTCGGAATATCCCATAGGGCATCCGCAACTATGTAGTATCGGTTTCGATTATTTCTAAGCAAAGGTTCCAAGCAATCGGCCGTGTGAGATTCAATATCCGAGACCTTACAACACCACTAACAACTTGAAAAAGACTTAGCGTTAACGCAAGTTTCACGTATCTCCGACTGTTATCTGTTCAAGGCTTGGCAGCGAATGTGCCTGCAGCCAGAACCTAAAACGAGGAGGGAGTACTTCGACTCTGGAAAGGAAAAACGTCTAAAGTGTATTTGGAAAATATTACAGGAGAGCTTGAGCTTGCGCAACTTAAAGTAATTTTTTTAGAAAAAAAAAATCGTTATTAATCATATAAACACAGAGATCGAAATAATTCCTTCGATCCGGCCGAATTCGAACCGACGTTTTCTAGCAAACTTGTGCTAAACGCTATACGAATTTTTCATGTGCTTGTTTTGCCGGATCTTTGTATTTCGTTTTCAACGACTTTTTTAGTTACTTAGCTGTAGCGCCATCTCATATCATCTCATAGCAAATCTATAAAAAAGTATTTCGTCACCCAGTTAGGTAACTTTTCAGCTACGAGCCCTCGCGAGAGATGTTGCTATTATCGCTAATTAAATTATTATTGACTGGATAATCAATTATTTTTTTGTAAAATGACTCCACTAGTTGGTTACAATTATTAGGACAAAGTTTTTGAGAAAAACTTCCTGCCGTCCGGCCGGATTATCATTTCAAAAAAAAATCCATTCAATAATAATTTAATTATTAATCAATCAAATCAATTTTAAAATTATATATAAAAAATTTGAAAGTTTCAGCTTTTCCATATAACAAATAAAATTTGAGTAGAGTTATGTTTTTTCTAAGAAAAAATACTTTACGTCGCTTTCTTGTCAATTTTCCAAATGCACGTTACACGTTTTACCTGTCCAAGGTCGAGTGTTGTCTCCTTATATTTCGAGATCTTGGTTTCCGTCGGCTTTTTGTCGGTTTGTGTCACGACTGATTGTCGGACTATACTTCTTATCACGATTAACAAATCTAAATATTAGTTAATTCAAAGTAATAATATAAATGCGAAAGTAACTGTCTGTCACGGTATCATGCCTGTTTAGGCACCAAACCAAACGTGAACCAAACTTAATGAATTTTGGTATAGAGATAGATGGGGACCTAGAAGAAGGAAATAGGCTTTTTGTCACAAAAATAAAACTTAAAGGGAATGAAGTAGGGGATGAAAGTTTTTGTGGCGAACCAATTATTTCTAAAGTAAGTAATGCAGTAGGCTAAACTATTACTACTAAGTATTTATTCTACGTAGACTAATTCGAGGGCCCTAGTTAGTTCGTACTTGTCAGAAACGTTAAAATTCTTAAATGTTAACATTTGGCTTAACACTAACATACATAATGAAAGAATTTTCAAAAGGATGTTGGGCTTTCTAATACTAATGCGTATAAAGATTTTTGAAACCACATTCAAAGGAATAATTTGTAATTTGCGATATTTTGAGATACTTTTAGTAAATTCGCGCGTAACAATATTTGATTTTTCTTTTACAACAGTTTCATAGAATGTAAAACACCGTCCAATGTAGAATAAAATCTAAAGCATGTTTGTATACTGCTTAATGTTTTTTATTATAAATTTGTTTACGACCTAAATTATTCCGGGCTATTTGTAGAATAAGTAACAACCTCTTAGGACTATATTACTAACATGATAAACAACAACTTAGTTCCATGAACTTTTACAAAACAATAAATTTACAAAAAAATATAATTTTAAGTTCTTTTTGTACTATCTCATAACAAGTTCAAACATGCAAGCGTCCTCCCCGATATTGTGTTTTGGTATTATTATAGTATTTACGCTAGCGTTTTATTTTGTTACCTCATAGAGTTATCACCGTTTAGAGCGCTTCTATATAATTATTTTTATACGAAAATAAAATCTGATTAATGATTAAAAGTCGTGGAACAAAAGTTCTTGTTTATGATGTTAGTAATATAGTCTTGCGGGGTTGTTAGTATTTTACAAATAATAATAATAATAACAAAAAATCCTGTATATTTTTGAACATTTTACTAAAACGCCAAGCTCACTTACCATCATGTTATTAAAGGTACTGTAGTCCAACCCAAAATGTATTCCAAAAGTGAGGTCGATAACGAAAGACGCTGCACAGCAGCACACGTACAAGTTTGCCACTATGTTTATGTAGCGCATGTAGTTTTCAGATAATACGACTGAAATTAATTTTGAATTTATTTAATTTTGATAAGGCTACTTTGCGCCTACTTAATGGCACATTCAAATACATCGAAAGACTACCAAGAAATCTGAGTGCCAAGGTACGTAACAGCTAGACACAGTAAAGGTGTTTTCCACCGACAAGTCGATACGAAAATTGAAGCCTCGCCGGTTTGTTTGTTTGTTATGTTTGATATTAATAGTCACCGCGAGCTCGCGCTGAGATTGTGAATAGTAAAATAAAAATATTGAAATAGCAATAGAATAAATTATTTGAATTCGACTAGATCTCTGTAATTATTTACAGAAAAGCATTCTTGCTTAAAATCTCATAGCCGTCGGGAGCTCGCACGGTCCCACCTTGGGCGTTCGCGTGCTTTCGTATTAATAGTATTTCCGTTACAGAGTCAATAAACACTATGTAGACAACTATACGGTTCCATAATAAACTAACAAATATTTCAATTCTCGTAACGCGCATCCTCGTCAGTCCAGACGAATTCCACCAAAGATGCGCTGGAGAGAATTAAAATTTTGCCGTACAAATTTCAATCCTCGCCGCGTCTCGCAGATGGAAAGGCATCTGGCAAAGACTCTACTAAAAACAGTTGTGTGAATTAAAGTGCTTTTTTTACCTACCGTTTTTTAAATATTGTACACAAATAATTCAAATACCTGAGATCAGTGAACATGCCGCGATCAAACATATAACACACGCCACTAAAGTAAGAATTGAAAGAATGAACACTGATTGCGGTGTCGTTATGTCAGGTAATGACAATGTGTTATTGCAGTTTTCACCTGAAAGATGAAAATAAGACACATTTTAATAAGCAATAATAAAATGAGTTCTAGGAAGGTGCTCTACTACTATGAAACGAATGATAATGTTTTTGTTTAAAGTAAATAAATGTTTTGATTTCGGATAGGATTGTAGAGCCAAAACAATAGTTTCAGGTGTTGATAGCCCTGTTAGCATTGACTTTTTTCATAGGTATTTGTACGCGTGTGTAAATAATAACGATGTATTTTTTTCAACCAGACAAAAAATGTATTTTTTTAGTATAAGTACTTACTTTGAATATAAAGGCTGACGATCATATTAATAAGATAACGTTGTGGCTCGGTGTCTAAGGACAAGTTTAAATTGCAATTACTTCGGGATATGATGGCCAGGAGACTAAGAATTCCATAAGTCACCGACAAAATCTGCAAATTGAGCAGAAAGTTAAAAACAGCAATCTGAAAACACTAACCATCTCTAACAACGTGCAATTAGCTGATTAATAATAGGATTGAATTTTTGTAAACCTTATTCTCAGGTATTTAAAAACAGGGTAAGTTCGTAAGTCAAGAAAACCGTGTAAATAATAGGGGTTAAAGTATGAAATTGCCGATTTGTACTGAA